TGCTATTTTATTTAATATTCTAGAGTCCATTTTTTCTCCTCCACCTTTTTTGTTGGTCACCCAGATCTGGGCTATCAGGGGATGTAACTTTTGTGGGGGTTATGTGTGTTTTAAGGTATTTTTAGGGGATTGTAAATAAATTTTTTTTTTTTTTTTTTATATTGCTTGGCTCAATTATCTCCCAGGACTAGGGGAGGGATTGACCTATTTTGTATTGGAGTGTCCTGGACCTGAGAGCCAATGTGATTGTGTATTTGTTTCTACTGTGGGTTACTCTCAGGTCCAGGGGGGAGTGCCCCTTGTATGGGGACTGTCATAAAAGGCCAGCTATGGCAACCATCAAGCAAGATTTGTTTTACCCTTCATGAAGTCTAGGCTCATGTTTGGGGGATTGGAGACCTATATACACACTCTGGGGATTGCTATAATCACTATACTCCCTTGCATCACAACGATTGCTCTTGTAAGAGCAGCCTGCTTTGCTCTCTGGACTAGGAGAGGTCTACCCACTGAAAGTTGGATCCTGGTCTTGGGTCCAGGGTGGGTGGAGGACAGCGAGACCCCAACCAAACTGTGGCGGATTGTGGGGTTTACGGTGGTTATGGTGTTCCAGTGCAGTGCTTATGGTGCTCGCAAGTACTAGAAAGCAGCTATTGACGGAGGTACCCGGTCGGGGTGCCAGGCAGTCCATCACAGTGTGGCTTCTGCTTCCTTTGGTGCAGCATGGTCCAGTGTTTGGCAACAAGAAGTGGTGGAGGACAAGTGTGTTTTGAATAGATCTGACATGAGCCTGACAACATTAAAAAAAGAGGAATTCGTATGAAGAAGGTGAGGTGCCACCACACTTATATAGAGCCTTAATTCTCAGGCTCTGTAAATTGTGGTTTTTTTTTTCTATATTTGTTTGCATTTTTCTTTATGTACAAGTACCCCCTGCGCTAGTCTTTCTTTCGTATTTTATCCCCTTTTTACGTATCAAAGCACACCAGGATTTCCATACTTGTATAAAAAGGGTAAGCAATCATTGCATGCAGAGATTTACTATTTAAGCACTCCACCCATCTATTCTTAGGATTATATCTTGATAATTGTTTGCTTGGTTTTATATGTGAATCTGATTGGAGAGGGCAGAGAGTTGAGATTATTACTCATCAAAATCAATTGTGATTCAGTGCCTGTAAATATAAAAAAAATAAATGAAGCTTATACAGCAACAAGTCTATTGTTGGTACTGAGAAAGAACATGTTTAGTTACATATACATACATGTACACATTTGTGTACATGGGAGCCATAGCAGACCCCATCAATGTGTCTGTACATTGTACTTAAAAACAATCATCAAATCTGAAATAATTGAACGTCTTGAGATGAAGCCTTGTCAAGGTCCATGTGCAGGACATAACATATATATATATATATATATTTTTTAAATTATATGCAGGCATCATGTTTTTTCTTCCACTAGTTGGCGCACATTCTCCAGACCATAGTCTGAGTAATTACAGATGATACTGCATCCTTTGTCTGCTAAGTGGATAGTTATGGTGGGGTCCTTAGATAATCTCTGTAGGGCTTGTCTTTCAGTTCTGGAGATATTGGAGTGGTTGGTCCATTTATCATTCAGAGTCATGTCAAACTCATAATGCCAATTCTGAACAGAGGATTTTATAGTTGCATTCATGGTTAAGGTGTTGAATTGACTTCGAAGTCTAGGTGCAGAAACATTTGTATTCTACTCATATGTAGGAGCACACACATAGCCACTGGAAAGGTTTTCTTTGAAAAAAATATATATATGTATTTACACTATCAACCACAATATGAAAACCCCCTGTCTAATATTGTGTGGGTCCTCCTTGTGCTGCCAAACAGCTCTGATGCATTAAGGCATGAACTCCACAAGACTTCTAAATGTGTCCTGTGGTATCTTACACTAGCAGTAGATCCTTTAAGCCCTGCAAGTTGCAAGGTGGTGGCTTCCCTTGATCGGATTTGTTGTTCCATTACATCCCACATTTCTATTATGGTCAGCATTATTCTTTCCAGCAATTTGAGCTACGCTATCTCTTCTGTGTGCCTTCACTACATACACCAATGGGCCATGGGTGCCCATGACCCTGACATCGATTCACCAGTTGCCTTTCCTTACATCACTTTTGATAGGTACTAACAACTGCATACCAGGAACAAGCCACAGGACCTACTGTTTTGGAGATGTTCTGACCCAGTCATCTAGCCATTATTATTTGGCCCTTGTCAAAGTAGCTCATATTTTCGCTTGCCCATTTTTCATGCTTCCATCACATTAAATTCAAGAACTCTCTGTTCATTTGTTGCCTAATATGATAGATAACTTGATAGGTGTTATTTAATGAAATAATCAATGTTATTCACTTTGCCTGTCAGTGGTTTTAATATTGTGGTTGAATCATATCAAATACTTTTAAATACAGTAGGGCTAAAAAATAATTCTATCTCAGATTCTTTTCTTTGGCCAGGAATAGGCAGCAATGAAATAAACATTATTCAACACATGAACAAAACTTCACTAAACATCAGAAAGCAAACTGCATTAATAATAAACTCTTTCATCCTATATTTCTTTTCTGAAGTCATTTTAAGGAATGTACTTTTTTTATGTTTCTGTTTCATTAGAGAATGACAATTAAGCAACAAGGAATAAATAAAAAGTAGAATGTCACTCACATATTGATGACCACATGAAACAGTCCTTTTAACTTCCAATTCTCTTTAATGTCATCATCCCAGTTTGGTTTTATATTTATATACCATTTAGAATGACAGAAATACTTTGCAAGCAGGTAATTACATTCCGGAGTGATTTAAATATGTTAATGTTCTCAGCTTTAATGAAATCGGAGTACTTCTCAATAAAAACTTAAATAAAATACAAATGTATATAGCATAAATATAGAAAATGGTTACTAATCTAATTTTTTATGTTTTTCAGTACAATTATCTGCAGAAGAATACAATTAAAATGCTTTTAATACACAAGTAATTGGTTAAAGGAAAATGTGATATGTTTGGGCAGGCTTTGCTAAAGAGAAGAGCTGTTATATCACTTAAATACATAAATGTGCGAAATGCCAATGATAGATATTGCAAACATAACCAGAACTTGATTGGTTAATGCAATCTTCTGAAAAGAATGTCAACAGAAGGAGGAGGCCAAATATACAGTGCAGAGAGTTACATGTTAAATACACTCCTAATGATAAAAGCATTTAGAACTTTAAAGCATAGCAGTGCATAGGGGATAAGTGGTTGCTGCAGGATGACAGTCACCTGCAGTGATAGCTAGAGGACTCGTGTCTGCCTTAGATGAAATGTCTTTCAAGTAGAGCTAAGAACAGCTCAGAAACCCACTAAAAACCATTCCTAAAGTAATTTACTGCAAAATCCAAACAGTATAAAATAAATCAATGTTACTAATAAACATGCAAGCAAGCTATATTAAATCAGTTTTGTTGTTTGTAAATTTTGTTGAAATTTAATTGCAAGTGGAATAATCACTTCCTTTTCAGTGATTTAGAGCTCTTATTTATGTTTTGTTTATGTATTAATTGTGGAATACACTGGATTTATTTACTAAATCCTGATATCACAGGAAATAACATAAAATTAAAACAAATGAATTTCATTACCTTTCCAATATTGAAGGTCATCTCACGCCAGGTTCTCCTGCAAGTAGGTTTGGTTTAACCTTGTATTATGCACGTTAACTAAGCAAGATACGTTTTCAAAATTCAAAGCAACACGCTTGAATCTTAAACCTTAAGGACACATGATGGAAATATTCAGTCATGATTCCTTTTTATTGCAGAAACTGTGTCCTTAAGGGGTTAATGCATAGTTAAGAACCCTCAGCAGAACATATGTTGAGAAGTATACAGTCTGTACAGTTAACACACAACTGGGGATGCAAATGCAAGAATAATACAGAGTGCTCCACTACAATGACACATAGAACTATGTACTCGGAATATTTAAAAAATTGAGGGCAGAGTTGATAGATAAAATGTGTGATATTTTGAATTTTATTAAAAATAATTTCTAATTCAACAATAATTTAAAAAGGAATAATTTATCTACACATAAATAAATTAGGGCAAATTTTTAAAAAGACAACTATTAAATCTGCTACGTAAAACAATGTTGGTTCATGATTAATAACAGTCTTCATGCACAACCAGGTTTAAAATTCTTCTTAATTGTACAAAATCAACCTTTTTATGCTCTTCTGAGTTCATGTTTTGGCATTATCTGGAGGTTTATTTAAAAAAAAAAAAAAAAAATTGTAGTGTGGAAAAACTAACAAAGGATACACATATTTTAGTTTAAAACAGAATGAAAGTTTGATCATGTTTAAATTTTCTGCATGTTTGGTGTAAAATTTTCAAGTCATCAATTTTCCATTTTATGATTTTGAAAAAAAAAGCTTTGTGACAGCTAATCAGCTCAAGTTTAAAGTAGGGAGTTTACAGTTGCGTTAGGGAATTCCTAATTCCTAAATTCTCAAATAGCTATACTTTATATATTAACTAGCCAACTCGTTATAGTTAGGGTTATTTATAGTTAAAAAAGATGAGTTAAATTATAAAAATCACAATTGCCTTATTAACATACTACTAAAGGTGGAGCTGTCATTTGTGTTGGAGGTGCCAGTTCCTTATTCCCTCACCTCAGTAAATTATGTTAAAGTCCTTACTTTAGCAAATGGTGCCGCAGAGGTAAGTTAAAAGAAAGTACTTTTTTGGTAGTTCTTTGTCCAAGGCAATATCATGCTTGTCTGAGAGTAATGCCTTATGAATACATGTGCGCTCTGACATTCCTTCCTTCCCCACACATATGGCACTGTTAGAGTTTAGTTGCAATAAAAAAAAAAAATCTAAAAACAACTATTGAAAATTAAAAATAAAATGGCAAAATCCATATCTAACTTTTAGGTATTCATTAAGTATGTATAAAAATAGTTCTGCTTCAAAGGAACACTCCAAGTACCATCAAAACTTTAGATTAATGAAGTTATGGTACCTGGATTAATTCTTTAACTACTGTGTGATGTTTCATCCACAATGACACCTTGTACTGCATTTGCACCTTTTCCACTTTAAAACATACTGTACTTATTAACAATGCAATGATTTGTGGACCCAGGACATCCTTGAAAACTAGAGAAATCTCAACTTATCTTTCCTGGTAAAATATTTTATAAATAAATAAATAATATAGGCTACTTAAAATGTTGGTAGTTATGCCTAAACATGAAGAAGGTCCCATGGCAAAAATAGGTCATGGATAGTTTTGATGCAATGTTACAACAAAGTTTGTCAAGGTTATTTACTAAAGTGAATTTCAAATTTAAGGACACAGTTACCAAACGGAAAGTATAGCTGACTTACAGATTTTTTCCATGTCTGCTGTTTTGACCTTAACTTTGAAATTCACTTTGAATCCCCCTTTTTTTTTTTTTACTGACAATTTTTTTCAGTTTATAATAAACATAATGGGGTACAGAAACAAAAATCAGGGATAAGGGGGCATAGAACATATCTAGAACATACAATATAGGTACATTCATATAAAAGGAAATATTGTACAGGTGTTACATGGTTGAGTCCCAGGGTTGCTGTTTGGGTTCAGCTTTCTCCAAGGAGGTATGTCTCAGCATGGTGCCATTCTTAACCACCATCAACAGGGGTTCCCACAATATTCCACACCCACAACATGAAGCTTGCTGGTCATTGGTCAAAATGCCCTCCTCCACTGTAGCATGTTCCTGATTAAGTCTTGGAAAAAAGTGAGTTGAGAGGACTCAAAGTTAAACAGGGTCTTGGCCCTCACTTGGCCCAACCATGCAGATAAAAAACAGGTTGTTTTGAAAAGCCCATTGAATGCAAGCCAATAAGAGAGTGTCTGCTGACTGATTTTAGCCTATCAGAGCTCCAACTGCCAATATAAAGTGTATGACTACAAGGAAGTATGTAATCTCTGCATTAGTCACACTTCTGGTATGGGCCAGACTGTGGGTGATCATTGTAGCAGACTCCATTCCCCAATGTTCGACTGTCCGTACCCCCTTGTTTGTCCCCTGAAAGACTTGTGTGTGGTCCCTTGTTATGCCCCAGTGAACACCAACCTCCCCTGGCAGTTAACCAAAAATTAATGACCTAACACCTTCCCTTGAGTGCTCTCACTGGGTGGCCGCTAATTATATAAACGAACGCACGTGGCCCAGTGAATGGTGGCTAGTTTGTCTCCTGAAAGCAGGCAGCGATACTTGGTCTTCAAACACCTAGTACTGTTTTTGCAAACCCGGGCAAAGATTTTACCGCTGCACGTCCCCCTTCCCGACCACCTAGACCACCCAGTTTAGTGAATAGTCTGATATATTTGTCAATAAAAAATTCTTCCTTTATGGTGATACTGCCTGATCAGAGTGCAACCAGTACTATTTGTATGCTGTTTTGTATATACAGTGTTACACTATAGCAGTGTTTCCCAATTGGTGTTCCGCTGAACCCTAGAAAACAAAATCGGGGTTCCTCTGCATTTAGCCCAGCCGTCAGCCAGCCCGCCCTGCCATCAGCCAGCCCGCCCTGCCATCAGCCATTTTCTATCACTCGTGGTAGAGGAGTGATCGAGAGTGGACCTGAAAGTAAAAGCTCTGTTATTGTCATTGATATAGTTTGTTAGGGACATAGAAAGCTCTGTTAGGTAGGGACATTGAAATTCTCTGTTGGGAACATTGAAATTATCTGTTAGGGATATAAAAAGGGTCTGTCAGGGACATTAAAATGCTCTGTCAGGATCCTTGAAAGACACTGAGAGGGGAAAACAGTGCTGTCAGGTTGTGAGATCTATATTTTTCAAAGTGTTCAAATCTTTTTGCTCCATTTCTAATTCAATAATCCTGCTTAAGTTCGGTTCTTTCTAAGAGCTTTGTAAAACACAGCATCCTTTTCAGTCAGGTTGTGAGATCTGTATTTTTCAAAATGTTCAAATCATTTTGCTCCGAGTCTAACTCAATAATCCTGCTTAAATTGAGTTCTTTTTAAGAATTTTGTAAAACACAGCTTCCTTTTCAGTCTGGTTGTGAGATCTGTATTTTTCAAAGTGTTTTTTTTTTTTTTTTTACCAATATACAACCATGAATTTGGAAAGCTGATTAAAGCAGGGAACTCTTCAGAGAAAAATTACTACTTCTACTTGTTCGGCACTTATAAAAACTGAGAAAGAAGAAACAACTAAAAATCAAGAAAACATGCCCGAAATAGTTGTATCTACTGTTCCTCAAACAGCAGACAAGTGATAAGTCAAAAAAAAGAAAAGCACACAATGCTAGCCAATCTTCTTCTCAAACAAAGAAACTAAAATATGATGATAGCTACTTGTCATTTGGATTCACAAGTGCCAGAAATGCAGATTGTCCTGAAGCACAATGCGTACTTTGCAATAAAATATTGCCAAACAGTTCATTAGCACCTACTAAATTATGTCGTAATTCTGAGCAAAACCGCGCAGAGTACAAAGATAAAGACATTGACTTTATTAAGCGAAAGCTAAAGGAGTATCAGAAAAGTAAACAATTTATGAGCTAATTTTTACTGAACTAATTTCTCGACTGCATCAGTATGGATACTCACTGCAATTAGATGAGTCCATGGATGTTGCAGGACTTTCAACTTTGTTGGTTTTTGTTAGATATAATTTTAACAAACAGATTGAAGAAGACTTGCTTCTGTGTGAAACTTTGAAAACTCATACCTCTGGTGAGAACATCTTTAACAGTATCCAGAAGTTCATGAACACACAGTATATATTGGGACAAATGTGTAGATGTGTGCAATGATGGTACCAAAGCAATGGTTGGTAAAGTGGCAGGCGCTGTGACACGAATAAGAAATGTAGCAAAAAACAACACTAGTTGTCACTGTGTTCTTCGCAGACATGCACTGGTAGCTAAAAATATTTCAATCTCACTTAAAACTGTGCTAGACGAATCGGTCCAGATGATTAGTTTTATAAAAAGTCAACCATTACAGTCATGACTTTTTAACATTATATGTGAAGATATGGGTAGTCACCACTCTGCTCTGCTTTTGCATTTAGAAGTCCGTTGGCTATCACGAGGTAAAGTCTTTGTTAGAATTTTTTAATTGCGTCAAGAGTTGTTTGCATATATCCAGGAACATAAATTTGCATTATCTGATTGATCAACAAACACTTTGTAATTATCCAAAGTAGCATATCTTGCAGATATATTCACAAAACCAAATGATGTATGTTTATCACTCCAAGGAAAAAACACTAATATTTTTAATGCAAGAGATAAAATATTTTCACTGTCTTGTAAGCTGTAGTTTTGGACCTCATCTGTTGAGCAAAATAATTTGAACTCTTTGCCAACACTTGAGGATTTTCTTGAAGAAAAGGAATCTATTAATCAGTATTTTCCATTCTTGAATTAAAATAATAATGACTGGGTTCGAAATCCATTCATAAAAGACAAGCCAGACACATTTTTCAGATGTAGATTTTGAGAATCTGATCGATATAACTTCTGACAGTCAACTAACCCAAAAATTTAAAGAAGTTTCTCTTATTGCTTTTTGGGGTGACTAATGCTAAGAATACCCAGAATTGTCCATGTGGGCAATCAAAGTTCTGTGTTCGCCAGCACATACTTATGTAAAACTGGATTCTCACTTTACTCTGCAGCAAAAACAAAGTATCGAAATTGACTTGGCGCAGTTGCAGACATGCAAATACAATTGTCAAAAATTAAATCAGATATAAAAAGAATTTGCCATAAAAAAATAGATTTTTTGTATTTAATTCAGTGGAGCACTTAAATATATGAATACAACTTAATAGTACACCTAGTGCAGACAAGTAATGTATATATACTGTATTTTTACATATCCTTGAACATCCAATATTGTGTACCTTTAAGAAAAAAAAACAGAAATAGTGCAGTGCCCTTATGTACACAAGTGTGATATACACATAAATTGGAACACTCACATATTCCAGAGCTATAACCTAGCTCTGGGAGTTGTTTGCCTGTAGGTCCATTTAGGCAACCTGCCCCTTTTTTCTTCATGAAGAGTAGTTTGGGAGTTTTCTTGTGTATTCAGCAGTAGTATGCAGTATAAGCCTGGAGCCTAGTAAACTGGCTCAGTTGAACAGCAGAGTATGGTTAGGGACCATACCACCCTTGGTTGTAGAATGCAGGAACATTGATGGTAAAAAAAAATAAAGTATAAACCTTAAAAAGTATATACTTTATTAGAACTTACAATTAAAATATCAGATAATATTATAAATAGTCCCAGATACTCGTTTCACCAGAATGGCATCTTCAGTCTGGTGCAGTAAACCATCAAGTCCCACATTCCGGTTTTATATAGTTCCTTAGTGCTGTCATTCTCTTGAGGTGTTTTCTTTCCGTATTCCAAGCCTGTATCTGGTGTTTGATTTCAGTGATGTCACTTCCTGTGTGTTCTTCCTGTATTCCAAGTCTCTATCTGATGTTTGATTTTGGCGATGTCACTTCCTGTGAAGTCATTTCAAAGTTCAAGTTCTTTCAAAGTCTCTCATAATGGTGGCATTGAAAACAAAACATATACACATATTAGTAAATACATTGTTATTGCCTTATTGGTATCATTCTTAATTTAGAGCAATGTTATCCTTAAAGGATCACTATAGGGTCAGGAACACAAAACATGTATTCCTGACACTATAGTGTTAACACCACCATCTAACCCCCCTGGGCTACTCATGCCTCCATAAATATTGCAACATGTTACTGTATTCAAGCCAGAAGCTGTAGATCTGCATGCTGTTTGCCTAAAAAAAACCAAGCAGTCTGCTGACATCATCAGAAGTGGTAACCTGATCCAATCACAATGCTTCCCCATAAGATTGGCTGAGACTGACAAAGAGGCAGATCACGGGCAGAGCCAGCACAATTCAAACACAGCCCTGGCCAATCAGCATCTCCTCATAGAGATGAATTGAATCAATGAATCTCTATGAGGAAAGTTCAATGTCTGCATGCAGAGGGAGGAGATACTGAATGTTTGGATGCATTTTAGGCAGCCATGACCCAGGAAGGATCTCTAACATTCATCTGAGGAGTGGCCGGTGAAGTTATCACTAGGCTGTAATGTAAACACTGCATTTTCTCTGAAAAGACCGTGTTTACAGCAAAAAGCCTGAAGGTAATGATTCTACTCACCAAAACAAATTCAATAAGCTGTAGTTGTTCTGGTGACTATAGT